GGGGGGGGGGGGCAGTGTTGGGACATGTTCATGATGCTCTTTCAAAGCCAAGACTAAGGAAAGCAGCAAAAGGGAAAAACTTCACTAAAGTTAGATTTTTTTAAAAAACAGCCCAAATGATCATTACTAGAGGGACACAATATAAAATGATACAGAAAGTTTAAATATAAAAGGATGGACATATTTCATTTATCACTTGCAAACAGAAAGAGTAGATAATATCAAATAAAGCAAAAAAAGCACTGACAAATAATCACGTCGGAATGATCTCATTCAACCTTGTATTAAGTACTTGAAACCTTTTTTGTTAAAAAAATTTTTTAAATCAACAGAACCACAATAACCTCAAAAATGATTCTTGGAATGGATTAAATTCTCTTGTCTTTTCTTCGTTCTTGATATTATTCTAGATATTCATAATTGCAATTCAACCAAAATGTTGCTCTTTCATCATAGACAAGTTACCCTTAAGTGAAAACAAAAACCAAGATGTTAGCATTGGTGTTAATCAGGAAAGTGAAGCTGGATACGGTTAAGAAAAAAAGCACAACAGAGGAAATGTTGGCCCTTGATGCAGCTTAGATTGAATCGACTTCCAAATGGATAACAATTTAATGAGCTCGGTCGTCTCAGCCCCATCCCGTGGGGGCACTTGAGCACATCACAGAATCTCCATACTTTCAGCTCAAGTGTCAGCATCTACTTGTAAAACATCTTGGACCAGAAAGCAAAGTGCTTCAGATTAAGAATCTGAGCAGTGTTCTTGCTTTCTGTTTGCTGGCACCAGAGCTTACTTGGCTTGAGAAATTTTACTCACACTTATTAGACTACTGTCATAAAACCAAAGGATTAGATGATTATTTAAGTGTACACTTATTACTACCTTTTGTCAGTATCAAGTGAAATCTTATCTTGAGCCAAGGAAAGAGCTCTACAGCTCTTTACATTTCTGTTAGCCCTAAAACTAGTTTTACAGCAAGAGAAAAAGCTTTCCAGTTTTTGGAATAAGTAGTTTTTATTTTTCCTACAGTGACAGTGAAGTTGAAATCTTAAGAAAGGATAAGTTTTATTCACTAGATTGCCCAGTTTTTCTCATTTATAATTGCCTTTTAATTATAAGAATTGTTCTTTTGAATATTCTTTATAACCTGGTAACCTTTGAAATCCTGCTTAACATATGCAGGGTCACGTTAATGCAGTATTGTAGATTTTATATAGGCTTGTATGAAATTTAACTTATTTGCAGGTGCACAGTTACGTCATTTATACATAAATCACTCAATACATTTGTATCATTGACATGATCTATTAAACATTTGTCTTCAGCCTAAATTTCTCTGAGCTCCGACCTACCTTTCCAAATGTTTGCCTCCATTTCAGTGCCTCAGTTACACCTCAAGGCAACATGTCTGAAACCATACTCCTGCCCTTCTGCCAGTTCTGGATCTCCCTTGGCCACCCCTCACTCCGAATGCTGGCAGCCTGGGAACCGTCCCCTGGATTTCCCACCGCCTCTCTAGGTCGTTGCCTCTTGCTTCCCGACTGGGTCTCCCTCATCTTCTTTACTGCCCTAATTTGGTTCTCCTGGTGGCTGCCAGAGTATCCTTTTAAACATACAAATCTGGTTATACCGCACCCTTCTATGGCTTCTTATGCTTAAGATAAAAATAAAATGCTGAACACGGCCCACAGGCCCTGCAGGGCTGGCCTCTGCCTGCCTCTGACCCTCACGTCGCTTCTGTCTGCGCTCTGATCATTTGGCCAGCACGAGTTCCCGGGCCATGGCCCCTGGATCATGCCCAGGCACCCGGTTAACGCCTATTTATCCTTCAGTCCTCAGCTCAACCCACTTGCTCAACGGGACCTCCGACCTCCAGACGCAGTTAGTTGTCTTTGCCATGTGTCCTCATAATGCCTCCTGCATCTTCATTTTTTTGTCTTTTTGATTGACTGTCTCTCCGTCTGGACTGATGTTCAGGACTTAGTTTTCTTTGGCCTAAAGGTTGATTTCTGTTCATTGGCAGAAGCTTTCTCTTACAACCTGTGCTAAAGTACTTACCCAAGTGTTCCGGTCACAGCTTAGTGTGATCATACTATCACACTTACCTTTAAAAAGATTTTTTTTTTTTTTTACCAACCTCTCTTGCCAATTGAACTGTTTTTAGCCCTAGTACTACAATGCGGACTTTCCTTATATGAATCCAAGTGAAAAATGAAGCTGCCTTGGCTGTGGACTAGTGAAGCAGCTCCAAGCATTACCCCAGTTCTGGGACCTGCCTGTCAGCCTGTAGATGCTGTTGAGCCTCTTGGTGGTTGGGTTGAGAGAGTCTGTGTAGGCGTGCTCTAGTCTTGAGGTGCAAATAACCGTGGATACATGTATTACTTCATCCGTCTAATGACTGGGTCACATCATACACAAAAGGCATGGGCCTGTTTGCCTTTTGTGACTGACTGTCTTGTGTAGGATTTAACCATCACATACATGACATGGCTGGACTAAACTGGAGACAGACATGGAATGAGCTCTAATTACAATCCAGTGGGCAGGGGAAATTAAATTTCAGAAGAAGAAACTGATGGACTTTGACATGAGGATCTAGAACATAGCACTGTAATCTGCTTTAAAACAAAGAGACTCTAGGGGAAGAGGGTGACTCTAGCATATGGTTTCTTCCTGTTTTCCTTCTTGACAGACTTCTGTTACATATTCACACTTTTAGCCTCCACCTTAAAAATCTAGAGGAAGAAATATTTCCTAATGTGTCAGAGTTCTTCCTCTCACTAATATTGTAGTATTTTTCCTAAATATAATTTTTAATTTGTTTTTTTAAATTGTTTACGTAAGTTCTATTTGTTTGTTTCGCTTTTAGGTGTTTTGGATAGCCTCAATATTTGCCTTCTCTTTTCTAGACAAACCTGATTCGTGAAATGGACTGAAACTGAAAATTCATCTACTTCTTTGTCTGAATTTGAGACACGGTTGGGATGACCTTAAGTGCATGCTTCTAGACTCCAACCGCAGCTATGAGTTCGGATGAGAAGGGCATATCCCCTGCTCATAAAACATCCACTCCAACCCATAGAAGTGCCTCCTCTTCAACGTCCTCCCAAAGGGAAGGTAGACAGGTAAGAGAAGAGTTAAAGTGCATTTTGTTATTTTATGCAAATACAGTACCATTTGGGCATGGTGGGGTTGCTAATTCATTCTGAAATTTTGCTGTGAAGATTTTTATTCCACAGAAAAACTCACTGTCTGTAGATCTGCCTGGCGATGTCATGAGGGTCCTGCTCTTGCTCTTCTGCTATTTAGGATCCTTTTTCAGAGTGCAGAACACAGGAAGGGTGGCTAGGAGCCCTGGAGTGCTCTCCCACTGTTTGCACTTGGAGGCGGGAGCCAGCCTCTGAACCCTGAGTGTTTTGCTCTCCCTCTCTGCATTTGTGGAGGTAGAAAGGGAGCTGAACTTACAGAGGTCTTCTTCCAGTAAGTCTCTCACTGGTCTGCAAAGCACCAACTTCTGTGTGGTGTTTCATGGAATCTGGTGACAACAAGAATTAGGTTATAAATAAACTTGTAGTATCAGGGGATTAAGGGCAGTAAGAACTCAGTGTTTCAAGTCAATAGAAAAAGTGAATTATTGTTGCTTAATTATTCCATTGAGCCAACTCCGTAAGTTATTTTTGTTTACAGAGTTAATTTGTTGCTACTTCAGTTGCTTTTCCACACCCAGAGTGTGGGATTAGTCGTATGAATTGTCTTCATTGTCAAAACAGGTGATTGTTTAGCCTAGTCTTTGTCTCCTTATTACTATTTACCATTATTATCTATGATAGGATTTTTGTTGTATAACTGGAAACTCACGGTAAGCCAGTGTTGTTAACTTTTTATAAAAAACTTTTCTTTGGGGGAACATTTAATTTAGTAAACATGTTTGCAAGGGCTTTGTCCCCCTATTTTATGTGTTCAAAATATATTGCCTGATTTCTAGGAGCACAAACATCAGTTATTCAGTTGTCCATAGCATAGACCTGGGCCTTGAGGCAGCCAGTTCCAGATGAGAATTCATTCTATTGACGGTGGAAATGCACTTGTGGGGTTGTTCCTTGGGGAACATTCAGTCTGAAAACCCTCCCAGCTCTCCCTTTCTCATTTCTAGCAAGAGAGTCCAGGGGAATCTGTAAGAATCATGGATTCCTTATGTGTATATCTTTTGCAGATTCCAAGCAGATACTTCTACTGTGGACCTTGGGGAATTTTTGACATTGTTGTCCTTTGTTATAGAGTTCAAAGAGGACATCTATGTTCTATTCATTAGAAGCAGCTATACTATTAACTAAATCTGTGATTACACACAGTTATAATGTTTATTGCATTGCATTTGTATAGTAAAAGAAAGTAAGAGTACCATGAATGAAAACACTTTTATATTAAATAATTACTGCATGCTGAGAAGATGCTTTCTAAGTGTGCCATTTTAGTCTACTAGTCACCTGCTCCTCTGTCCTTTCTTGTTATTGCTTCTTCATTTTCCTCTTGCCTTGGGCACTTAAGTGGAGAGACATTTTCAGCAGCATGGCCTTTCTGGAAGCTGAGGGAAGGAAGGGATGGACCCAGCTCACCCTGGAGAATTGTGGTAAATGGAAAAGACTGATGACTGCTGTAGAAACATCTGTCATTGTTGTTGATCTGCCTGTTGCACCTGAGCTCCAGGGCTAGCTTGCAAAACAAAAAAACCCTGAGCCCTGGTCTGCCAGAGGGAATTTGAAGGTGGAATGTGTGACTCCCAGCTGGCCTGCAAATGGAAAGTTGTATGATGGGAATAAATAATCTATTTGTAAATTGATAATGAATTCTAGAAAACTAGGAGACAGTGTTCAGATGTTTATTATTGTTTAAGGAAAGAGTTTGCTTTCATTCCTGCTTATCTCAGCAAGTGGAAACTCTCCCAAATACTGTCTCCTCTGGTTCCTTCCTGCCTCCTGTTTTGTGTCTTTTCATCTTTCCCAAGGGAAAGAAGAAAAAAATAATGATAGTTCTGTTTTTCCTCCCTACCTCTATCACTTCCTATAATCCAGGATTAACTTACAGAAATCATAATTTTCAGTGCTCTTGTGACATGATATGATATAGTGTTTTTATATGTATCTGTTTTTGTGTGATGACTGTTTTCATAGTGAAGGGACATAACGAAATTGTGATAAATTATTCTTCATTGAATGTTACCCCATTTTCCTGATTTGACTGACATCTATGCAAATGGTGCCAAATTGCAAAATCCATCCGTATTTCTCTCCTGAATTGATCATATAGGTAAAGGATCTAGCACATAGCTGAGAATATAGTGGTGCCTTAGTGTACGTTATTTGTCTGTCCTTCCCAAGTTCAAGTCCTAGATCACTAATTAATTGATTGGGCATTTCTGCGTAGATATACCAATGCTGCCTTAAATCAATATGTATAAACCAGTTTGCTATCGGGATAATCATTCTGTTATTGACCTAGGGTCAAAGCCATTCCTTTATCTGCCTCTCTCACATTCAATAGGTTGACAAGTTCTATTGATGATTTCCTCCTAATAATCATAATTTCTTTCTATTCCCACTGTTGACTCCCTAGCCCAGATTCTCATCACCTCAAACCTGGAGCCTGCACAGTGCTCTTGCCTTACCTTCTCCCCATGACCTCATAAGATCAAATTTCTTCAATATGGCAGATTCATGCTCAGAATCCTTCAAAGACTCTCAGTTACCTATACTGACCCTGCCTCAATGTCCCATTTTCTTCCAAACCTGTAGAGTCTTGTCTGCTCATGGTTCCTAAAACTGCCTTATCTCTCTCTCTGCCTTGTCTTTCCCGCATGGAATTCCCACCACCCCACTCTTGACCTGATACCTGCCTATGCTTTAAGGACCAGCTCTTGCAGTACTTTCACAGGTCACTCAAACCCACATTGCCCTTCCTCTCCTCTGAACTTTTATGGAACTTTTTGACAGTATGTGACATTTATATTATATATATATATACATATATATATATATGTGTGTGTGTGTGTGTGTGTATTTTATATACATATATATATATAATTTAAATGTACTGATCACTATACTGTGAGCTCTTTTACAGACTATGCACTCTAATTCTTCAGAGATAGGCCTTGCACCTCAAATATTTTAATATATCCTAGAGACCACTTTTAAAGATCTGCAACAATATCAGTCTTGTCTTTTTATTCCAAAATTTCCATTCCAGATTTATTTGTCTTCTCCCTTCTTCCTTCCTCATAGATGAGTAAAACAAAGAACATCTGCCAAGTGCACAGTAGTAACTGGCTGCCCTTCCTGTCACTAAATTCTGTAGCCAACGGGTGAAGGAGGGAGAGAAGTTGGGGGAAAAAGTTATTCATTGTTCCTGAGATTTCACTCAGTGTTTCTTCATCAATGAGAAGGTCAAGACTCTACCCAGTATTTAACAAGTGGGAAGACTTGTTAGTAAATGCTACATTTAGTAAATGCTACATTTACGTTTCCACCAAGTCTCATATTAGATGTTAGAACATCTAACAAAATTAGTTGTGTGTGTGTATGTGTGTCATCAACTATGACTCATAAGCTGCAAGAAATATATGTACCAAATTTTTCAAAAAGGAAATAAAGAAGTTAATTAGACATCTAGGACTTATGCATAAACAAGCATTTCCCATGCGTGCAGCAAGGAAAGCTTGTCCCTTGAGCTGTTGCATAAGTGATGCTGGTGGATAAAGCCCTCGGTGCTGTAAGTATAGTTAAATTTGTGAGTTGCTTCCAGTTTAGCCTTTTTTGGGATTCCACCCATCCCATGGAATCTGACCTTTAGGACTTAGGGCCAGTGTCAATGAGAAAATAATATTTGCTTGCAAAAACTCACACTATTTCCAACTGTTGTGATTTAAATGCATTTTGTGAATTAGGGTTCTGAAAAATCTAAATATTAGGCTAAGTTCGTGCATAAATTAATAGACCGACACCTGCAACCGCTAATATTTCATGAGTTCTTATTGTGAGAGGTTGGAACTGTCAACACCTTTTTCAGAGAACTAAACTCTGGCCTGAAGTGGTGAAATATCTTGGCCACAGCTAATGAGCAGTTAAGACAGGGTTGGCCACTCACTATTTGTTCTGTTGTAAGTCTTGACAAGATAAATGTCCAGGAGCATGGCCTTCTGTACGCTTCTAAGTGAACTTCGGAAGGCAGCATGTCAGTTATTTTTGAGTTATGTATTGCCTCACTTTTCCCCTCATCAATAATAGTGATTTTTCACATCCTCACAGCTTGGGGAACAATAGACCAAGTGGCACATAGGCCAAAATGTTAAGTTACTCTCCTGAAGTACTTGTGTCAAAGAGGAATGTTATGTTCTTTGTGCTTTTCTGAATTTTCTGTCTTGTCACTACATGGGTTGCCTTTGGAATGAAAAGTTTTGATCATTTATTTGTTTATTGAAAATTCTGATTAGCCTTTTGCATGGAATGAAATGAACAGCCCCACAGATTTCTTGCTGCCCCCACCATTTGGGGGTCACTGTTGCTGCTGCCTGGTTGTTGCCGTATGTGTTCAGCACATGTCAGATGTGCTGAAATTGAGACCACTGAAAAGACATTTGCCACCAGGCTGTGAGACGCTCATTACCCACAAGTGATTCAGAGTTTGCGAGAGAGACTCTGTTTGCTGCTTTCCCTGGTATGTTTGCCAGAACCTTTTGGTCCTCTAGACCTGCCTTAGTCTCTCACTGAAGAAGTGATCTCTTATGACCCTGAGCTGGCTAATTTGGGATAGCATTTTTATAGCAGCAAATTCATCTGTCAGACCTAAGCTTTAATATTGCCTGTTCACTTAGGCAAAACACAAAACAGAAAGAACCATAGTATAATCTGTTAGTTAACTCCAGAGGGCCTCAACCTGTAGGTCTTTGGGGAGGCCCAGGAATCTGTCATTTACAGTTGCTTCCCCAGGAGACTGTTATTCATCCAGATTTGGAAAGCATCGCTCTTACAGAATACATTTCTAGGTGTTTCATTAGGACTATAAAAACATCATCCCGAATGACTGTAAGTCTTCAAAACTGCTTTATTTGATTTTAAACTTGAACAAA